TGGATAAATGGATGGAGAAATGGAAGGGCAAATGGATGGATGGATGGATGGATGGATGGATGGATGGATGGATGGATGGATGGATGGATGGACGGATCGGATGGATGGGATGGATGGGATGGATCGGATGGATGGGATGGATCGGATGAATCGGATGGATGGATGGGTGTATATGTATATATACACAGACGTAGATATGATGTATAAATAAAGACGTTATGCTTGCGACAAGCCTGTGCATAGTTTGTACACGTGTACATCGCAACTCACAGGTGTTTTGAGCATATGTATGTATGTATGTATGCATGCATGTATGCACGTATGTATTTATGTGTGTGTATGTATGTATATTACACACAGGTCTCGCTGTACAAGTGTTTATATATTACCACATACATACATACATACATACATACATACATACATACATACATATATTATATATACTTATTTATTTATTTGTTTATGTGTCATATAATGCGTGTATATGTATATATACATATATACAACTATATGTAGATAGAAATATGTGAATGCAGCTGTACTAGTCTATAGGTGCATATGTACACACACATATATATATATATACATACATATATATATATATATATATGTTTGGATGCATGGGTGTACAGTATACTTATCACCTATTGCGATGGAGAAGGGCAGAGAGATAAAGAGCTGGGTGCGCACTGACCGCGAAGATTGAGCTGAGGGCAAAAGGCCTTGCGCACGGTGAGGAACTCAGGAGCCATCCTCGGAAACATCACAAAAACTTGGCAAAGCTATCATGGTAATGCGTTTAATGCGGCTTTGGGGTACAGTCGAAAAAATCATATCAAGGAGCTCTGAGGAATAGTGTAGGCAGCTCAACAGTTGGCAGGCGATTCTGCGGTACTACCGTTGTTGGATGGATTCTGCCATGGATCTGAGTATGATTCTGATGCTGATCGTGAGCATGCGTTGCTCCTGCTGTCGCCGCTAGCATTACGGTGTTGTTTCTTTTGGCATGAATTTTGCCACTGCTGCAACATTAACATCTGCATCCAAAATAACGGCAATGCCTTTAGCTTTTGCAGAGCCCTGAAAACAACAATCACGTAACAACCGCCCCAAAGATCCAGGACCGGATACTCTGAATCCTTCAAAGCTGTATCAAAACGCTGCAAGTCCTTGGCTTTAGTATGCCCGTCCCAGCCTAGCGAAGCCGAAGGATGCGAATGCTGGCATGTCCTGTGCAAGCACGTCGAAATTGATCTGGCTCGTTTGTTGCGGATGCCGCTGTTTTTTGTTCCGTTTCTAGTTTCGATCGCTGAACACCTCGCCGAATGCCTTCATCTAACTGACGCTGCTGCTCCTAAAACTGCACCCGAGACCTCCCAGAACAGAGGAATCAGGGGTGCAAAGGCTTCGAGTCACACTCCACGGTGTCGGTGTGTTTTGCATGCTGGGCTTAGAACTGTGGCTCCTTGGTGCTCCGCACTTTTTGTGGCCCTCCATCGTGCGAGCTCGCTGTCTGGACTCGGTACACGCTTCGATTTGTGCGTGTCAGCCTTGCGCACTGGGCCATGATAGTCTTCTCTGTATCCGTTGGTTTAGGATTCTTAGGGCACGTGCCGCCAAGAACACACCAGGTTTCGGATGAAAGGGTAGCTTGATCGAGACGAATCGCTGTGATTCCAGATCACCACTGCATTCAACTTCGCTTCATGAGCGACATTGGTCGCTCAGAATACAGGCCCTGTATTCAGCAGGCTTCGGCCTTCAATTGATTTGCGGCAGGTCCCCAATCACGACTGAGAAGGCCCCTACTGTAAGCCCTGGAGAGGCCTCTTTGAGGAACTTGGGCTCCGCGAGGTAGGACATAACCTGCTTGCGATTCCATGCTGGGGAGTGAGTGCGAGCATGCAGGCAGGCCCGGGTATTGAATGAACCATGGCATAACGGGGCGTTCCGGTCTTGCCTTCTGCTTCAAGAATGATCGAAGCAAGACCACTCTCTGCAGTCAGCTAGCGTGAACAGCCATGTCTAGGTCCAGGTACGGTCGCGGATTTTGTTTGGCAAACGACCTGGCTCTGAGAGCCGGCCTGTCCGGAGAAACAGGTCCGAGTCCGTGGAGGCTTCTGAATTCCGATGCCACCGGTGCTCACTTCCAATCTGAGGCCCGAGCCCTGGCAAGGGGAACAGGGGTGAATCGCGCCTAAGGAATGAGGGCGGCTGAGGGCTGCTCATGCAAACCCGCGACTGGAGCCTCTCGGGCTGAGGCCCTGGTGCTGTCGGCTGGTACCCCGAAGAGGCTCTGGGTATCCTCGACCTCGTAAGTCATATCTTGCAACGGCGTTTCTCTGAAAGTTGAACGCTGCACCGGGGTGCCCCACTAAAGTCACTCCACGCCAAGACCTCACGGTATCGTCCAGGAAGAAAGCCTCACTGGCCAGAAAGCCACTTGCTGGAGCTTCTGAGCAATGCCTAACCTAGGTGCTGCACGTAGGTCATACGCAGCGCAGCCGCCAATCTGACAGAGTCAGCCGAAGCTCGATCACAGACCTATCTGACCGCTGACACGACCTACACACCAACTACCATTGCCATTTCAGCACAACTCCTCCCACCCTCCCTATCTGACGGTCTAGACTGGGCCTGACCATCCAGTGCCTCGCACAGCCGATGCCCAAGTCCTTCCAAAATGTAAGTGTGTGGAAACTCCAGCTTCCCACATCGCGGTTGATCAAGGAAGACGAGGAGGCTGGGAATTCGACACACGAGCTCAGCACTTTGCATCTGCCTCCGGCCGTTGTTTGCCGTAGCAGGGATGATTCACCTTGGCACGAAAACAAACAGCTACTGATGCACCTGTGCAATGTGGCCATGGCGGCATTGACTCTCTCGGCATTCCGAGATTGTTCACATGGTGGCCGACACTATAATGCTGTAGAAGGGTGCCTGTGTTGAAAAGCCTTGGTAAGTCCTGGCATTTGGACGTTGAGATGCCCCCTCAGCAACGAAAACACTTGTCGGGCGGTGGTCCAACCCTGATTCAATCCGAAATTTCCCAAAACCACCGGCTGAGCGGCGGTCTGTGCACTCGGTCGGCAACTCCATGACAACCTCGAGGCTTCTTTCTTGAGGTTTCTTCTTAAAGCGTCTCCGTGCGGAACTGAGACGATCATGGCACCAAACTCCAATCCTCAACAGCCTCTTGAGGCCGAAGCGAAGAATGGAGAGCTCATTCGATAACTTGGTGTCCGCAGGAGATGGAATCGGGATCAAGCTACAATTGACACTCATGTCAGAGCACAGAAAAGTACGATAGACTTCGAACAGCATCGCGGGCAAGGTCAACAACTTGTGCTACAACGACCAGGGCAGAAGGACCGCGGCCACGACCACCTCCGCACCATCACTCCGAAATTTCCACCGCCGCAGCCACTACCGCCATCACGGGAACAAGGAAGGAAATCTGTTCTTTGGGGTCCCAGGAGCTTCTCCACCTCGGAGGGCTTGACCTCGGCCCGGTAGGCTCTCCCTTAAAACTGCCCGCTGCGTTTTTCGTAGTGTCAGGCTTCTCTTCGGATCTCTCGGGGACCGGCGGCAACAATCTGAAGGAACTTCAACGGCGAGGTCTCGTCGACCATGCCTGGAGTGATGTCAAGCCTGGCATGGACGGCCCAAGGCGCGACGTGAGAGCTTCCATCACGGAGCCACTGCTTGAGAAGTCTAATCGAAAGGTCCTGCTTTGTTGAAACCTTTGCTGCGTGCGGGTGCTCGGAACGCGCAAGCCACCAAAGCCATGACGGCTACACAGCCCCACTTCCTCATCAATGGCAGAACGTCCGGAGGATGGCGTGAGCACCTCAGCTGAAACCGACAACCTGGCAGATAGCTAGTTGCCGCAAGAATGAAAAGCGTAATGCCGAACACAAAGCTAGGAAAACACAACACGTATGTGCAACTTCGAATCCCTGCACCTAGGCTCACAACGGGAAAGGCTGCTTCGCCGCATTTGGCCGGCCTCGCGAATATTCCCCGCTCGTCCTTCCAGCACAAAGGAAAGTTTTATGCAAAGAGCACGAGATAGGGGGTTTAGGGTTTAGGGGTTTCGGCGCTCACACTCGGACAATCCAGGCGAGGCAAAGGGTTCAGGGGTTTTGGGTTTAGGGTTTTTTGGTTTATAGGGGTTTAGGGTTTTAGGGATGCGCTCCTCGGAAAACATCTGCTGAAACTCGCTCGGGATGAAGAGCCGGCAGGTCCTTACAAACGAAAAACATTGCTGCCTCCTCCTCCGCCAGGCAAATGTTATAGACGGCAGAGAATCCGCTCAGCAACTCTGACAAGCTGTCGTCCGAACTCACGCACCATGCGGCAAATCAGCAACAGCATCCGAAGAATTTCACCCAGAATTCCTTATGAACAGCTGAGAACTCTGCACGCCCTCTGCCAGGGCCACAGTGACTATTCGATCCCCACGCTCGCCGACCTAGCAAGGTCAATAACGGATTCGGGCTCAGGGCTTGTACTCTCATGTGCTCTCACTCTCGGACAATCCAAGTCTTCTTGGCTGTTGTGTTGCGAGATCTTATGTGCCACTTCTAACTTGCATGCAGGCACGAGGGACGAATAAGTTTCGTAATGCCACATTCTGTAAGACACCAATGCAAAACGAAAAAAGTGTGCAAGGAACGTTATATCTAGGTACAAAATGCATGTACCCGTTCATTTACATGCTCCGATTCTATGCCTTTGCACGGAACGTGTGGTAATTGATTGTTGGAATTGCAGGGTTTCCTTGTGCCAGGCGCTTGCAATGATGCTTGCGTGGCCAGTATTGCTAGAACCTGTTTATCACTCCCGAGGCTACTTGCGTTTGCCTTACCTCTAGGCAGTAGAGAACAGCGACGCTTCCGGGCACCTTTGCGGCACTGCGGCACACGGTTGATGCTGGGAGCATGCTGGTCACAGTTGCTCATGCCAGTATCCATCTTTTGTTTAGGCATCCAACACTAGTCTTGCATTGCGAGGTCGCAGACTTACAAAGTTGCTGGCAACTCGCAGTCTTTGGTAAAATGTCGAGGAAAGTGTGGCACATCGAAGCGGTAGCCATCGGACTCTGCATGACTGCACCCTACGGTTCACATTGCCTGCGTTGCCGATGAACTCTACAGAACCTGCCCTGCCCGTTGCCACATGCGCGCAAGCAAAGACTTGCCGCCAGCTCCCGGCATTGCACGATCCTCTGCAGGCACTCTTGGCGTCGCACGTGTCGGATGCGGCTCGGCCGGCTGCTGAAGGGGACAATTGAATGACCCTTTCGTCCTGGGTTGCTGCTTCACGCATCAAACGAACCGGGCAAGACTCAAAACGTTTTGGTCAGGAACGGACACTTTGTCAGGCATTGAATTGAAGAGACGGCTGTCGTGCGATCGTCGCTGCAGTCGTCAGTCGTTATCCCCAAGCCCCCCTCCAAACTCGGGAGGGGGCGATCGAAAGGGGATTACACAGGGCAGTTAAAGGGGCACTAGTTACACCGGTAGGCGCAGCTGTGATCGCAAAACATGAAGCAACAGCTAGCTCAACGGCACCATCCCTTCAGCTACCTTAAGCAACTCAGAAGAACTAAGCTTTCAACAAATAAGTGTAGTTGAAATTCCCTGCACAAATCCCACTGGAATGGGTTGCAGTGATCCCTAAACACGAATCCCTAGACACGAAGCCAAGCACTCAAACGCGATTTAACCCAAACCTCAACCTTAAAACTCCCAAAATCCAGAAGCACCAAAGTCGCAAAACGGTTCAATGTCCTAGAACCCCACCGCTTCCTTTCTAGACCCTTATCTTAGGGCTTTGGGGCTAAGTCTACACTAGGTTAACTTTTGATTTTGATAGGGTCATATACCCCAAGGGGTTTAAGTTTCCCTACCCAGCCTTTGGGCGATCATACTCCTCATGTTATGACCGGAAGCAGCTCAGAGGGGCAAGCTCAGCTTCTCCCTCCCTGCGGTGCTGCAAGTTGGGGCTCGCTCGTGGACCTGCCACATGCGCTGTCTTTGGTGGCGGCTGCTGTTGTTGCAGCAGCTTTTCACATTCCAATCGCTGGACGTTTGGAACCAATTACCCTTCGTACTCGAAAAGGTTGACTAGCATCACTACTTACTCTTACTACCAGAGACACCTGCGCAGCTTGCTGGCTCCACAAGTCAGACTTTCAGTGGAGCTCAAACAAGTTCTATGAACGATGGCTGCATCGCCACTTGCCGCTTGCGGAACCTACGAAGTGAGCAGATTGACAAGCAAAATTCAATTACCATCCCAGAAGATTTCCCCAGCCTTGGTTCCCACGACTCGGCTTTCGCCAGTCGAGGCTCACTGTCATTGCCTCTCCCTCTTGGAACTTTGCTTGAGCCCTTCCATGCGCAAAAATCACCCCTCACAGAAAGGCTGACGAGGCCTCTGTGTTTTCCATGAACCCCCCCTTCTCCGAAGGAAGCGGCCTCCCTGTGCCCCTTCACGGTGTACCAGTCCTGTCAGCGTCTTGGTAACCATATTACGCGGATGGCTATCCCCGAACATGAAAGCAAGGGAAGTCTAGCTGGGCCAACCAGTGAGCTGCTGGCCAGGGGTGGGATGCTTCATCTTTTCCCAGCCCCCTTTCCCGGGGTCCCACAACTCTTCATCTGCTGGATTTCCATACCTCGGTTTGCAGCTCGAGGCGCCAGAGTCCATAAGGCTACCGCCAATAGCACAGCAATCAGGAATCATCCTACGCATCGTAACGACTGTGACTATTAACGGGATCATGTTAAGAAGGGGCCACCGGAGTCATGAGTAGAACCGAAAGCGGTGTTGCCTGCAGCTCGAGGCCTCTGAGACCTCGGCTTGCCAACCCACATCTTCTTCTTGAAGCGTACAGGCCGCAACCTTCAAACTTCGGATTTTCGGTGACAATGTAGGGCTCTATGACAGGGTCCCCGATTCTCCCAAGTCGTGCAGTACAACTTGGCAGGCTTTAGGTCCTTAGGTTTTTCTGGCCTCCTGCCTTGCTACCTCCCCAGGTCTGTAGCGAAAGGGTCTCCCAAGAAGCCTTCACGTGTCATCCCAAGGCTTCACTACGTCGCAGCGAAGCTTAGCGAGCTCCAGGGAAACGGAAACAAAAAGGCGGCAAATCGCTTGACAGTCAACACGCTAGGTAAGAAGAGCCCGAATGCTGCTAAACACTTCAAAGCTAGCATCAACACTCGCTTTTTCGTCACTCCCCGTGACTGCGCACACAGCTTGGAGCAACTCCAAACGGAGCCTGGCAAGTGCCGGATAGAGTGGGCACCGGTCTCCTGAGACAAGGCTGACAAAGCCATACACCACAAGTGCTCAAGGACGGGCCTTGCCAAACCACAGCGATGAGTGACGAGATTGAATGGTGAGGCAGAGTCGCTTGAAGATGTGATAATGAGGCTTGTTTCCAGGACTTCCACCGCTCTAAGTAAGGCAGAAACGAACGGCTCCTTTCCGAATGGCCACTCGCAACAAGCAACATGCCCAAGGCCTTTCGGCTTTCCTGGCACGTCGTCCTCTTCCTGGTTCAAGTGACACTGGCAGTATTAAGCTACTTAGTTACGTAAAAGCTCGCTGCAACTGTTCCAATGAACTCATTCCATCGCAGCTGCAACATGCAGAGCTTGGCGACCCACGTCACTGGATGGCTCTTTGCTTTCCTCTGGGTCGGCCTGACATTAAGAGCTTGGGCATCCAGCCGAACACTCCATCGGTGCTCTGCGGGAAACGCCTCGGCCAGAGCTGCCTCGTCCTCTGGGCCTGCGATTCCAAGGCATGGCATGGCAACTTATGGCAACATCTCGACCGAACAGTCACCAAAGCATGTCAAGTTTTCGAAAGACTGGAGCTTGAAACTGAAGTGCCGACATCTTGGGTTGATCTGGGGCTCCGACTCTGCCAGCTCGGCTCCTGAAAAGGCACTTGCTCTTCCATGGGCATGGACTTTAACTTCCTGATACTTCCTGCAAGATGCACTCGGAGGCCGCAGCACATTCACATCTTGGTCTCAGTGCCGGGCCAAGGCGGAGTCGGAAGCGGCAGAATTTTCGCCAAGCAGCCTCAGCATCCCAACGGCATACACTACCAAGATTCCAGTCAAGCCACAAGGTACTGCAGACGGATCAGGCTCTGCGGCAAGAGAAAGGAAGCAAAACAACTGAGGCTGAGAGAGCTTGAGCGTCGTGCGCGCGCAGCTCCTCTCCATGCGCCTATCACACAGGCTGCATCACCAGTGAAAATGCTGCTGCTTTGCACATCGCATTTGCTGCTCCTCGAGAGAGCGCGCCTTGCCGAGCTCCTCGCCCTTGCCTGCAATGCGAAGCCGGAAACGCTGAGGCCCGCAGCCCTAAAGCCCAAGCCACAGACGGGCTCACATCGCGAAAAAGCCGAAGTGCAGGCCGCGCCTTCTTCCCCCACATCGTCCTGCTCCAAGTCCAGAGCTTCCATCACGTCTGTAGACAGACGATACCTCAGCGTGGCTTATTGGCTTATTCTCTGATCATTTGAATACCCGTGATGTGGAATTTGGGATTTCAAGTGGGTTGGAGATTTGGCGACTTCCGGGTGACCGAAGCGGAGGAACCCAACAGTTGCTGAGCCCAAACACTTTTAACCTTCGCTGCCATTCTTCTTCTCCGAAACTCAGAAGCTGGGATCTGGGCTTAGAGGACAGCACCGAAGCTTTGCGCTCTTCCAATGTGTCCTCATGTGAGAGTTGTCCTACGTTCTGAAAGGGTTTGGTAAGGATACGTGAGAAGGGCATCTTTGCCTAGCTACAACAAGAAACTTAAGAAGGCAACTCAAGGGTCAAAAAGATCCGGGAAAACCGACTCTCAAAGCTGAGTGTTGTACAGGTACATAGCTCGAAGGGCCGCCGTGATGTAGCTATGCTAACTTTTGGTAAGTAACTGAGTTGGCACTTGAATCACTAGAAGTGCTACAGTTCATGACCGCCGCCAACGGAACCAAATGTAGAAGGGCTCCTGCAGGAATGGGGTCTTTGTGCCTTTGCAAGCACTTCCTAAATATCTTGTCAACATCCAAAGCATGTGAAAAACACTCTCGAAAAAGGTGTCTACTGGTGTGGCAAGTTCGAGGCCCTTTCAACGGCGAACTGCACTCGCCCTCTCCCGCCTGCATGAACAGGCAATACGCCTTCACAGGCTTGCGGGAGGTCAATCGATGCGCGCGGCTGGTGGCCTGCAGCCGAAAGGGTCGCGAAGATTACGATCATCCATCAAGGCATTGGATTTCTGGCTGTTGGCTGTCTGTTGTCGTGGTTTGTGTTGCTCATCATGGTCGCTGTGCTTAATTTCCGAGCACTGTGAACATGGTCAGCATCACATGTTTGTTCCTTTCTGTGCGTTGGGGCCGCCATGCTTACTCTATCCGGAAAAGGAATAGCTTCTAGAAAACAGCTAGCACTACAAGATTGTTAACAGTACTGGCATGACTGCATGACCGGCAATATTCCACGATGGCCATACGGGTTAGAGCAGTCTGGTTCAGATCCAGCCGGTCAGCCGCAGGGCTCCGCGTCTGTATGCTTTCACCGATGTCAATCTCGAAACATGCAGCTGGAGAGCACACTACCACGCGGCCGACTCTCGGAGACACAACCATGTGGCAACCAATTGGACGACAACACCGATTCCTACTGCTGCTGCGCCGCTTAATCTGCGCTTCTTGCAATTGTGCCGTTCACTGGGTCGCTCACAGCTACTATTAGCACGTCCTCCTGTTCCGATCACGGCATGCGACAGCATCTTGAATGATTACGTCGGGATTGTGACTTCATCCAGCCTGGCGCTCAAGTGCCGGATTCCACACGCGCTCAACATGCACCACCTCAGTTCATCTTCTAGAAGAGTCAAGGTCTCGCAAGACTCGTTTGGCCTATCCTCGTACACAATCTGCCCTAAAATATCCCAAGAGTGAGTCTAGAGAGTCTGGCTGAACTGCAGCACATGAATTATTAGTGAAGCTGCCTGAGCCTTCGGCCCAGCGCGCTTCTGGCAAGTTCAGACCTCGTCTGTCTCACATCCCTGCTACGACTACGACCATTGCGGGACTTGCAGATAGCAGTTCCAACTTGGCCACGGACCCACGGCCCCCACCCACACGGAAAGCAGCAGCACCTGCATCGGAGAGGCTTTTGCCAGGAAGCTGCACCTTCTTTCGGTGGCAATGCGGGGCGCCTGAGACTGCGGTTCTCCTGGGATTGGCGTTGCCTTGAACTCTCGCACGATCCGCTCACGCTCGTTGTGCGGCGTGTCCTTGAAGGTGCCAAGCGATCGGCAGACGCAGATAATGGATTAGCAGTGCCGCTTCTGTAATTGCACGGCACGCTACCATGGCCAGCGGCAAGGTCGTGTCAGTCGTCGTCGCAGAAGTACAAGTAGCAGTGGCAGTAGCAACAGCCGTACGCCGTACGAATGCATGGTGGGAGTATCAAGCCTCAGCAAAAACCAGTAGTAGCAGGAGCAGCGAGGGTGGTGGTGGCCATGGTAGTGGTAGTCGTCGTAGTAGTAGTAGTCGTCGTCGTCGTAGTCGTCGTCGTCGTCGTAGTAGTAGTAGTAGTAGTAGCAGTAGAAACTGTAGTGGTAGTGGTAGTAGTAGTAGTAGTAGTAGTAGTAGTAGTAGCAGTAGAAGCTGTAGTGGTAGTAGTAGTAGTAGTAGTAGTAGTAGTAGCGGCAGCATTAGAAATAGTATTGTTGTTGCTGTTGTTGTTACTCTGTTGCTATTGTCGTTGTTGGTCCTGGTCGTGGCTCCATGGCCCGACCATGATGACGTCCATGGTCTAATCTCCACTCTGAGAAGAGAGCATCCATGGCCCAACCATCATGGTGACGTCCATGCTCTAATCCCGGCTTTGAAAGGAGAGCATCCATAACCCAACCATGATGACATCCATGGTCTAATCCGTTCTGAGAAGAGAGCATCCACGGCCCCACCATGATGACGTCCATGGTCAAATCCCTGTTCTGAGAAGAGAGCATCCATGGCCCAAACATGATGACGTCCATGGTCTAATCCGCTCTGAGAAGAAAGCATCCATGGCCAAAGCATGATGACCATGGCTAGTCCGTTGTGAGAAGAGAGCATCCACGGCCGCACCATGATGACGTCCATGGTTAAATCCCTGTTCTGAGAAGAGAGCATCCATGGCCCAGCCATGATGACGTTCGTGGTCTAATCCGCTCTGAGAAGAGGGAGAGCATCCATGGCCCAACCATGGTGACATCCATGGTCTAATCCGTTCTGAGACAACAGCATCCATGGCCCAACCATGATGCCGTCCATGGTCTCATCCGCTCTGAGAAGAGAGCATCCATAACCCAACCATGATGATGTCCATAGTCTAATCGAGTCGAATCCGTTCTGAGACGAAAGCACCCACTGCCCAACCTTGATGACGTACATGGTCTGCTGTTGCCACCACTTCTGTTGTGCCCCTTGCTGCTGTTGTGCCCATTGCTGCTCCTGCAAACGGCTCTTCATCACCATCATCTCAACACCGTCACCGACACCTCATCATCCTTGTCATTGCACCATCATGACCGTCATCCTCCTGTTCATCTTTCTCTTGCAGGAACTGCCTTTTGTCTCACACAGGCGCGAAACCACAAAACACAAACCAGAAACCCGCGTCTCCATAATGTGCAAGCGTTTTTCGACACAAAAACGCAATTTGTGTCTTGAAAAAAGGGCTCCGGAGGAAAACCAACGGCGACCAAGTTGGCGAACTCTGCGTACAAAAAGTGGGTTTTGTAATTCCTGCTGTTTCCAAAATTGGCTACAATTATGCCCAAATCCTCAGCAAAAAGGGTGTCAAATAGCACGTTCCCCAAAAACTGATATGCCGTTTGTCCCACGCAGGCCACGCAAAACGCACGTTGCCGTCACATGATCCTGCGCGCAGTTACAAAGGGATCGAGCATTGCTTTTGTTGTAGTTGTAGTTGCTGCTGCTGCTGTCGTTGTGTCGTTGATGGTGCTTCTGCTGCTGCTGGTGCTGCTGCTGCTGCTGGTCTTGTTGTTCTTGTTGCTCTTGTTGATGCTGCTGCTGAATTGCTGTTGCTGGTGTTGCTTGTGTTGCGGGTGGTGCTGGCAGTGGCAGTGCTGTTGCTCTTCTTGCTGTCGTTGCAATTGCTGTTGTTGCTGTGCATTTTGCTGTGGTTGCTGTTGCTGCTGTTGCTGTCACTGCTGTTTTTGTTTCTCATTCTTGTTCTGGGTGGATAGCTAGCAGCTAGCCGTTTGCGCAGTTACGTAAATCTTTTATGTATTGGTTGGTAAGCTGGTTTGTGGCTAGCTAGCAGTCAGTCGGTCGGTCGGCCGGCCGGGCTTAGTTGCCTGGTCGGTTGGTCGCGCGGTTGTTGGGCTATTGGAAGTTATTGGGATAGTCGGCTGGCTTACTTGCTTGTTTGTGTTTAGGCAGCAGCAGCAGCAGCAGCAGCAGCAGCAGCAGCAGCAGCAGCAGCAACAACAGTGGCGAGTTGTTGTTGTTCTCGTTCTACATGTGACTACTGCTACTAGTAGTGCGAGTCTGCTACTGCCTGTGCCCGTAAAGAGGATCGGACCTATGCCCTCGGCACCACTGGATGCACAGCGAATGTTTCGACGAGGCCGGTACCCCCTGCAAGATTCCAGGCCGCACACCGAACCTGAACGTTGCTTCTTGCAACTAGAAAACTGAAAGCGTCTGTCCTAAGCAACAAGCAGCTTGGCACCTGCAGATTCTTCCTGCCTTGCATACTGGGGGTATGGTCACCGAGCCGCCCCCTCTGCACCGAGATCCTCGCTCACGCTCCATGAGAGCTGCGAGAAGCTTACTTGTGACCTTGGAAATCTGCCGTCAATCCGCATGCTCTCGGAAGGTGCAGACAAACTACCGTCCTGTCAAAGTGTGGCTGCATTTTGCACGCCATGATTCCAAGCCACTTTCTCGTGCCTATGTTGACCACGACACGCGGGGACGAGAGTTCGAGCATGGGTCAAAAGAGACAGGTAAGTTTCCCTCAACGGTCTAGTTCCTCAGAAAGACTGGTCCTGACCCTCCGGGCACCGCCCCAGACCAAGCCAGCTGCTGTGCGACAGAAGAAAACGAGTACCTCAGTCTGTAGGCACCGAGCTGCTCGCACCTTCCGCCAGCACTGCAACCAGCAGACGTCTCCAAGATCCACACCTTCTCTCTCCGGGCGACTATGCCACGCCTCACTCTTAGAGGTTGCTCACAGCAAGGCTTGCAAAGGTGAGGTTGACTGCTGAGGCTGCTAACGGGATGAGGAACTCAAGTGCCACATGCAATCAGCAATCACTTCTATCGCAGCATGGCAGAAGCGCCGAGTTCCACGCAAGAGGTTGAACAGCTCTACCAGCCTCACCGACAAGACAACCTCTCGCTATCGATGACATCTATGACAACGACACTGGTGTCTTTTTCCATGCTTGTCAGAACCGTTAGCTGTTC